TGTTGGTACTTTGCCTGTTTCTCTCTCCTCTTGACTCTAGCAGGCACTGCCTTTCACAAGCTGCAACGTGCGCGACTCTTGCAACGGCAATGCGTCACTAGAGATGACTTCGGCCAGAAAGGCGTCGAGCCCGACTTGGCTTCCAAAGTTGGCCGCGATGATCGACCGCTGCTTAGGGCGCTCGACGCTACGCGCCCGACGGCGAGCCCGGATAACCACAAGGGGTGACTGTGAACTCCTTGAGCGCAGCATCAGCGAGACCATCGAAGATGTTGCCACACTGCTTCCTGGAGAGAACCCTGGCCATCATCCGAGGTGAGACGCCGAAGGGGGGAAGGGAACTGCTTGGCCACGGGCTGGCCGCTGACTGCACCCCGTCACCGCGCCCCTCCACCGCCCCCGCCCCGAGCCCCCCCCCCCCCGCCAAGCGCAGGGGTGGCAGGCTCGGCGCCGTCTGCGAAAAGCGGGGCAGCCGCGCCGAGGCCATCTCCTTTTAAGATGACCTGCGCAGCGGCCTCGACCGAAAGCTCGGGCGACGGATCGCGCGCCAACTTCGGCTCAGGCGCGTAAGCCGCGCCGCCGTCGCCCTCAGGCTCGTCGCCGTCGTCGCTCTCGCCGTCGGAAGGGGCAGCCTGCAACGGGTTATCGCGAGTAGCCATGAGCGAGCGAAGGAGCGCAGCCAACTTGCTGTCGGGCGCCTCGAACTGACCGAGGAGAGCGATGCCAGGATCATCAAGAGACACAACGGCACGACCGCGCTGGGCACCAGGCCGTCCGACCGCTGAGCCGCCGACCGCGGGCCGCGCCTCGGTGGCCTTCGCAGCGAGGACTTTCTCGTTCTCCTGCAGCTGCTCCAGCTTGCCCCTGAGGCCGACCAGCTCCCTGAACTTGTCCTGCACCACCTTCTCGAGCTTGTCAGCTTTCTGCTCCGCCAGGAGCACCTCGCACTTCGCTTTATCGTACGCAACCTACCACAGCCTTGGGGTCGCCGGCAGCCAGCGCGCGCGGAACCGCGACGCGGGCGCGCTGGCTGGGCCCCAGGATGGACTTGGCGGACTCGGAATCTTCATTGGGCTTCTTGACAAAAACCTGCGAGCTGCGCGGCATCGAGCATCTTGGGCTTGGGCTTGACTGCCTTGGGCGGCCCGTTGGCCCACTCACCTTGGGCTGGCCTCGGATGAGGAGAGCCAGGCACCAGGCACAGGAGGACGCTCGGTACCACACTTGTATCAAAACTTCTCGAACGAAGCCTTGGCCTTGAACCACTACATCTTCTTGGGACAGTACCAGACATCGCCGCGACTGAAACTGCCCATGGAGGGTGCAAGCAGAGGAAAGTATCCTCCACTGGGAGCTCACCAAATGTAGAGTATTCTAGCTGGCCTGACAGTCCGAAAGGCTGGAAAATGATGGGGGTCGCAAGTCCACCTCGCCAGAAAAAAAGTCAGGTCCTTGAGCGACACGCTACGGACTTCAGCCAAAATAGCTACGGATCCTCCTCCCTCCTCCTCCTGCTTCTCCTCCTCCTCATGCTCCTCCTCCTCCTCCTCCTCCTCCTCCTCCTCCTCCTCCTCCTCAATTCCTTTTCCTTAATAGATAACTTTCCCTGTCGCAGCCCGAGGCCAGTTTTTAGGGCGGGCCGGGCGTTTCGCTTGAGACTTCCTCACCACTTATGGCTCTCAAGTAAGGCGACAGCCGTTTCAGAAATGAGGGGCGGGTCGTCTTCAAAATGTGGCTCTCGCCACAGTGCCGCGCACATTCGTTCAAGAATTGGCAAGAGCTTCGCGGATTCAGGGCGGGTCGTTTTCAAAATGTGGCTCACGGCTCAACGCCGCGCGCATTCCCTTAACATGTTCCAAGAGTTTCGCACATTGAAGGCACGTGGTTTTCAAGATGTGGCTCTCGTCTTAGCGCCGCGAACATTCGTTTATATATATATATATATATACACATTGCAAGCGTTTCGCGGATTGAAGGCAGGTCGTTTTCAACATGTGGCTCTCAGCTTAACGCCGCGCGCCTTCGTTTCAAACAAATGCAAGAGCTTCACGGATCGAGGGCGGGTCGTTTTCAAAATGTGGCTCTCGCCACAACGCCGCCCACATTCATATCAAGAATTGGCAAGAGCTTCGCGGATTGAGGGCGGGTTGTTTTCGAAATGTGGCTCTCGCCACAGCGCCGCGAGCATTTGTTTTAATCGTGTGCAAGAGCTTCACGGATTGAGGGTGGGCCGTTTTCAAAATGTGGCTCTCGGCTTAGCGCCGCGCGCATTCGTTTTCAACATTGCCGGACTGTCGCGGATTGAAGGCGGCTTCTTTTCCACATGTGGCTCTCGACTCCGCACCGCGAGCATCCGTTATCAAAATTGGCATGAGCCTCGCGGATTGAAGGCGGGTCGTTTTCAAAATGTGGCTCTCGCCGTAGCCCCGCGCACATTCGTTTTTAAGAAATGCAAGAGTCTCGCGGATTGAGGGCGGTTCCTTTTCGAAATGTGGCTCTCGCCGCGCGCATTCCTTTTACACACTTGCAAGAGCTTCACGGATTGAGGGCGGGTCGTTTTCAAACTGTGGCTCTCGCTTTAGCGCCGCGCACATTCGTTAAACATTGTACAAGAGTTTCACGGACTCCCACGAACATCGTACCCGAACTGACGCGTTGGAAAAATTCATGACTATGCGGGTGCAACAGTTATGTTGCTTCGCGGTGTCGAAATCCCAGACATGGCGTTTTGGCAAGGTTCCAGATCGTCTAGTCGCAGCAGTCAGGTTGATCCGTGGCGTTGAAATCCCGAGAGCAAAGTTTGGCATGCTTCAAGATCTTCAAACTGTTGTCTTCCAACAAGGCAGGTCCTTCAATGGAAATGAACCATTGTAGGGGCCTGCGAAGACGGAGCTTGGAAGGAGGGTTAATTCCAGCATCGCTGATGAGTTTTGAGTTTACGCTGGTCTTCCTCCTCCTTCTCCTCCTCCTCCCTCATCCTCCCTCCGCCCTCTTCCTTGATCGAGCCCGATCCGCGGCGCACGGCGTGGCTGAGCGCGCCGCCGCTCGACAAGGAGTCCCTCGAAAACGGGTCCCCCCGCCCCGGCATCGCGGACCCGGCCCCGGCCCCCTCGCTAGCCGTCGGGGCAGGGCGCGAGGAGGAGAAGAAGGAGCGGAGGAGGTGAAGAAGGAGGAAGAGGAGAAATAGGACGAAGGAGATAGACGAGAAATAGGACGAGGAGGAGGACGACGAGGAGGAGCAGGAGGAGGAAGAGGAAGAGAAAATGAGGGCGAATCCCTAAGATTGTCATTCCCCAAGTTCGAGGCTGGTAAGTTTATGTTTCAGCAATCGCTCATTCTTCCTAGGCCTGGAAACGGAAACGGCAACGGAAGCGGAACGCCTGCGCGGGCATGCGCCCGGGCCCCTTAAGGGCGAGGCGGGCGAGGCCATGGCCTCGCATAAGAAGCTGCGCGCGTGGGGGGTCCACTCGGAATGCAGGAGGCACGGGTCGCAAGACACAGGACACGAGGGCACCCTTGATCTGGCAGGGTCGACCTACTGATCCGGGCCGCCTGTACCTGTAAGCCCACCACGGCCTATTCTCGGAACAAGCAAACGTTCGAATCAAAATAACAAGGTCTGCAAGGAAGATAGAGGAGGGGCCTGCGATCTGCTTCGGATGCCGTCGTCACGATTTTTCTATAACTTCGCCCTCAGGGGCAATTATGCGCGGCGAGCGAGGGGAGAGGTGAGAAGGAGAAGGCTTTCTCAACAAGCGGCGGGGGTTCTCAGAAGCCCTCCAGCCTTCTGAGAAATTGCCCGTGTCTTCGGACAAGGCAGCGAACCTTCTCAGAAGGCCGGAGGACATCTGAGAATTCTGAGAAAGCCCGCCCCCTCTCACTTCCGCCCGGGCTGGCCTGCCGATCTTGGACCCACCCCGGGGGCAATCAAAACAACAATGCGGGGCGATGAAACGGTTTCAGAGAAGGTATCGAGATCCCTTGCAGCCTAAAGGGTTGAAAGACTCGCGGCGTGAAGTCTGGGGAGGAGGAGCATGTCAGATGGGTTCGGCAGATTCTCGAGGTTGAGGGTAGCCGACGGCTTTCCGGAGGTGTGTGGGAGGGAGGGGTGAGGATGAATAAGCGAGGAGGGACACCACTTTCCGAATCATCAAACCTGCACTGCCCGTTGCCCATTTGAAGCTACAGCACGCTGCGCCCAAGCGGCTGAACGAGTCAGGGGACCTTGGCCGCCCCGACACGCAACACGCAACCCGTAGCGTGTTGACGCAGAACTCAACACGTAGACTGAACACGTAGGTCTGGAGCGACACGTTCGCCAAAACGTGGGGCCGACGCGTACCGACCAATCACGCAACGCGTTACCACGGACGCTTTGAACACGGCACGTGCTGCGTTTCAAAGCGTGCGTATCACGCTTTGAAGCGCCGGGGGAGGAGGAGGGGGAGGGGGGGGAGGGGGAGGGGGGGGAGGAGGAGGAGGAGGAGGAGGAGGAGGAGGAGGAGGGAGGAGGAGAGGAGGAGGAGGAGGAGGAGGAGGAGGAGGAGGAGGAGGAGGAGGAGGACGAGGAGGAGGAGAGGAGGAAGGAGGCGGAGGAGGAGGAGGAGGAGGCGGAGGAGCAGCCACAGGGCAGCCAGGCCGAGGAGGACCCGTGCCCGAGCGGCGGCACGCGCGCCGCGCACCGACACACCCTTTGGCCAGCGTCCGGCGGCCGGTCCGAGGCGGCCGGGCCAGCGCTGCACGCGCGCCAGCGGAGCAGGCCCGACGCGGCAAAAGAGCAGGAGGAGGAGGAGGAGGAGGAGGAGGAGGAGGAGGAGGAGGAGGAGGAGGAGGAGGAGGAGGAGAGGAGGAGGAGGAGGAGGAAGGAGGAGAAGGAGGAGGAGGAGGAGGGAGGAGGAGGGGGAGGAGGAGGAGGAGAAGGAGGAGGAGGAGGAGGAGGAGGAGGAGGAGGAGGGAGGAGGAGGAAGGAGGAGGAGGAGGAGGAGGAGGAGGATGCGGATCAGAGGCAGAGGGGCAGCCGACAGGGCAGAGGTCGCGCCTTTTACCCTCCGGCCTCTCGCTGGGGCACGAGCGGTCTCCGCTCCGCGGCACCGCGCGGGTGCATAGCGTGCCCTTGCTGCGGCCGAAGCGCAGGAGGCCGACAGGAAGCGCGCGGAGTGGCGTAGGCAACTGGCAGCAGCAGCTGCTGCAACACCCCTCGGTACTCCTCGCGGCCCCTGCCGCGGTGGTGCGCCGGTGCACCTGCCGGGCTGGCTGGGAGGGGAGGGCGAGGAGAGTGCTCATGGGGACTGGGGGGAGGGCGCCATGTTGTTTCTCCAGTGTGTGTGTGTGTGTGTGTTTGTGTGTGTGTGTGTGTGTGTGTATGTGTATGTGTGTGTGTGTGTGTGTGTGTGTGTGTGTGTGTGTGGTGTGTGTGTGTGTGTGTGTGTGTGTGTGTGTGTGTGTGTTGTGTGCGTGTGTGTGTGTGTGTGTGCGTGTGGTGTGCGTGCGTGCGTGCGTGCGTGCGTGCGTGCGTGCGTGCGTGCGTGCGTGCGTGCGTGCGTGCGTGCGTGCGTGCGTGCGTGCGTGCGTGCGTGCGCACGCGCGTGTGTGTGTGTGTGTGTGTATGTGTGTGTGTGTGAGTGTGTGTGTGTACGCGTGTGTACGTGCGTCGCTCAGGCACCTCACCTGACCCACACGATCACCCGGCTCCGGGCACCTGAGCGACCCCAACCGGCGACGCCGCGGCATACCTCCGCTCGCCCCGCCATTGTGGGGGCCTCCAGGGCCGCGTCCGCTGGCTGGCGCCCCTCGGGCCCGCCTGCTCCTGACCGCCGCCCACCTGGAGCAGGCCCGGGGTCCGCGCCCCCGGCTCGGCTTCCCGCTCCGCCTGCACCACCTGCGCGCCCACCTGCGATGCGGCCCCCGTCGCCTGCTGCGTCCGTTGCGTCCTCCCGGCCCTCACCTCCCCGCTCCCCTTCTCTCACAGGTGGCGCGGGCTCCAATGCCGCTCGAACCTTTGCTGCTCCCGCCGCCGGCAGTAGCAGGGGAGGCCCCCCACCGGCGCCTCCTGCGCCTCCTACTGCTGCTGCCCCAGACATTCCATGCGTCCCATCGGCATGGCTTGATCCCGAGTCCGATGGACCCACAGCGGGCCCCCTTGACAACGAGTCTGCGTACTTACATCGAGCCATGCCCAGCCAGATTTCCCTGCAGCGCCAGGGCACCACCGCACCCGATCGAGCGACTGCGTCGGGCTGGAAGCTCTGGACGCTTCCTCGCCCCTGGGGCAGACAGCGTATCCCAGCCACCAACCTGCCCTCGCCCTCACTTTACTCGCTCGCTGAATTGGAACCCTTGATGGATGTTCTCGCTCCTTCAGCCTGCGCGGGCGAGCACCCCGCCGACACTGGCACTGCCCCTCGTGACAACCCTCGAGGCGGCGGCGCGGCCCCACGAAACCGCCCTGCATCCCAGGCACCCGCGGAGCCGTTCCCACGACGGCGCCTTCAGTTCTGGAGGCCTGGCACCCTGCACTCGAGCGGATGCTCGCTGGTGGCTTTCCCCTTGGCGCCTGCCCTCCTCGACTCTGATCCCTGCGGCCCCCCTCGGGTGGCTTCTGCGGCCCCGGGCCCTGCGGCCGGGCCTTCCCGCAGGCCCCGCTGTGCGACAAGGGCGTGGTGAACGGGCGGGCCGCTTCGCGCAGGGTGCTCTGCCCCATGCATGCCCCAGTTCTGGACTGCCTCCTTTCACCTCGGCAAGCCTGCCTCGGCGAGCATCCAGGTGCGCTCACACTGCCCTCCCGTGCATGTTTCGCCTTTTCCATCCTGCCTCGCCCGCTCGTCCTCTGCACGCCCACCCCATCCACAATTCCGGGGTGTCGCCGTCCCCGTTGGGCCCTTGGGCCGGCCGCTTCCCCCTTCATCTGGTCCTCGGCCGAGTTCCTGGCGACCCTACGGGACTGTCGGCGCTGCGACCTCAGCGATCCAGCCTTTGCGGTGTCCTCGCCGCCACTCCCGGCCTCCTGCCCCCTTGTGCCTTGTCCTGCCCTACTGCTAGTCGTATGGCCACGTCACCGCTGTAGTTTCTACTGTGCGCCCCTCTTCGCCCTCCTGGCATGCCGTTTCCTTGCTAATTGGCACTGCGTACCTCGTCTGCGACCCCGGTCATCCATGCCCGTATGACACATGGCTGGCCGCGGCGCTGCTCGCTCTGAGCGGCTTGAGGGCCCGGCCTTCAGTGGCGCGCGTGCGCGTTCTCTACTCTGACTCTGGACGCCCTGTCGCTGCGCGTGGGGCCGCAACGCAAAAAAGCGTGCGTGCGTGTGCGTGTGCGTGTGCGTGTGCGTGTGCGTGTGCGTGTGCGTGTGCGTGTGCGTGTGCGTGTGCGTGTGTGTGTGTGTGTGTGTGTGTGTGTGCGTGTGTGTGTGCGTGTGCGTGTGTGTGCGTGTGCGTGTGCGTGTGTGCGTGTGCGTGTGCGTGTGTGCGTGCGTGCGTGCGTGTGCGTGCTGTGTGCGGTCGCGTGGTGAGTGTGCGTGTGTGCGTGTGCGTGTGCGAGATCGTGCGTGTGCGTGTGCGTGTGCGTGTGCGTGTGCGTGGTGCGTGTGCGTGTGGTGTGCGTGTGCGTGTGCGTGTGCGTGTGCGTGTGCGTGTGAGGTGTGGGTGTGCGTGTGCGTGTGCGGTGTGCGTGTGCGTGTGCGTGTGCGTGTGCGTGGCGTGCGGTGTGTGTGTGTGTGCGTGTGCGTGTGCGTGTGCGTGTGCGTGTGCGTGTGCGTGTGCCGTGTGCGTGTGCGTGTGCGTGTGCGTGTGCGTGTGCGTGTGCGTGTGCGTGTGCGCGTGCGTGTGCGTGTGCGTGTGCGTGTGCGTGTGCGTGTGCGTGTGCGTGTGCGTGTGCGTGTGCGTGTGCGTGTGCGTGTGCGTGTGCGCGCGTGTGCGCGCGTGTGTGTGTGTGTGTGTGTGTGTGTGTGTGTGTGTGTCTGGGGGGGCTCTGGCGGCCTTCATACAAGCGCCTGGGGACCCGTGGAGATCTGCAGGACCTCTGGAGAGCTCCAGAGACGTCTAAGGCCCAAAGAGGGTAGCTCATTGGGCCTGGAATCGAAACACACATCACCGACACTTCGGCGGTAGGTCCCTGACAGCGAGACCGGACACATCCTGGGCAGTCACGGCTTGACCCAAGGATGCGGTCCTCCGGGGAGATCCGAAGTCTGACTCCCTCTTCCTCCTCGAGCGTGGCAAGTTCTCTCCGCCTTCTCACGCTGGCTTCTGACACAGCGGAGATCGTTCAATCTTGAACTATCGGCCGCATCGGGAAGGTCAGATCGGTCAACATCGACCGATTCTGGGTCGCCGGCTGCGTTCAACGCTAAACGCTGGCGGCGGGGTCGCCGCTGGTCGACACGACGCAAGCCTACAGTACGGTCGGACCTAGGACATGATTATTCACTGCGTGAAGCTCCCCATATGTGCATCTCTTTGCATTGGCATGAACGGCGGATATGATTTCCGCCGTGAACGTCTAGGCGCAAGGAACTCCGAATATAAACGAGCTTGGATATTGACAGCCTGGGAGAGAGTCTAATTATGAATGACTTTAAGTGTATATGAGCCCCAGTAGTACGAGCGAGTCTATGCGCGTGAGTCTGCGCATGGCTAAGCTTAGGGTGAGTGTGTCTGCACGTCAGTGGCCTGAGCATGACTGAGCGTGACTGAATCCTCCTGGGGTCTCTTGGGGCTTCCTGGGGCTTCCTCAAATCTCCTGGAGCTCCTGGGCCCTCCTGGGACCTCTTGGAGCTTCCTGGGGCTTCCTTGAGCCTCTTGGAACTCCTGGGGCCTCCTGCGGCTTCCTGGAGCCTCCTGGGGCCTCTTGGGGACTCCTGGGGCCTCCTGGGGCCTCTTGGGGACTGCTCCTCCTTGAGCCTCCTGGGGCTTCCTGGGGCCTCTTGGGGCTTCCTTGGGCCTTCCTGGCGCTTCCTGGGGACTGAACCTCCTGAGACCTCCTGGGTCCTTCCTGGCGTTTCCTGGGGCTTCCTTGGGCCTCTTTGAGCCTCCTGGTACCTCTTGGGGCTTTCTGTGGCTTCCTGAAGTCTCCTGGGACCTTCTGGGGCCTCCTGGTGCCTCCTGGGCCTTCCTGGAGCCTCCTGGGGAGGATTCGTGCCCCAGGAGAGGCCCAATCGATAGGAACATATGTAAAACATGTAGGAATGGAACCACAAGAGAAAGACCATCAAAAAGAACATACGTAAAGCACTAAATCTTCGTGCCCCACAGGACGCCCAGCATATAGGAACATATGTAAAGCACATCGGACTGGAGCCACAGGAGAAGGACAATCTATAGGAAAACAAAAAGGATTTGCGCCCCAAGAGAGGCCTGATCTATAGGAGCACAAGTTAAAACATAGGATTTGAGCCGCTCCTGGGGACTTCTGGGGCCTCCAGGGGCCTCCTGGAACTTCCTGGGGCTTCCTGGAGCTTCTCGGGGGGAGCCTCTTGTTGCATTATATGGCTTACTGGGGCTTCATTGGGCCTTCTTGGCGCTTCCTGGGGATTCCTCAAAACGTGTGAAACTTCCTGGACTGGAGGCTCCTCGAGCCCTTTGGAGTATCCTGGAGCCTCTTGGGGCTTCCTGTTGCCTCCTGAAGCCTCCTGGGGCCTCATGTGGCTTCCTGGGGCCTCCTTGGGCGGGCCTCCTGGGGAGGATCCGCCCACGATTCTGGCAGCCAAAGCAGGCACACCGCTCGAGACACCCTCGCAATGTAAGCCCTCTGGGGTGCGACTGCCAGCGCCTGCACTCGACGAATATGGTCACCAAACCAAACACAACGCTAGAGACATCCTCGCAATCTGGGCCCCGTGGGGTGCGAAAACCAACGCCTCGCACGATACATCCTCCAACACTGCTCCGAACGTAAAAGATGCTGGGTCAGGAAGCCCGCAAACCGCTCGAAGCATCCCCGCAGTCTGGGCGCGAACGGGGACCGTGCAACACCCCTGCCCCCCCCCCCCCCCCCTTAGGAGTGCCGACGCAAGCAAGCCGCTCGAGACATCCTCAGACTCTGCTCTGGGCGCACACGAGTCTGTCCACCAACACAAGCAAACCGTTAGATTGCAAAAAAACTAAGGATTGCAAAGGTTTGCAAAAAACCTTAGATTGCAAAAAACCGAAGGATTGCAAATGGTTTGTTTTGCAATCCTTCGGTTGTTTTGCATCCTCGGAAGTTGGGCCCCTCGGAGTGCGACCGCCAGCGCCTCGCACGAGACGTCCTCGACATCAGCAGCTCCGATAACGAGGGACGTTGAGCGAAGGATTGCAAAAAAACCTTCGTTCGAAGGATTGCAAAAAGACCCTTCGTTCAAAGGATTGCAAAAAACCCTTCGTTCAAGCGAAGGTTTTTTTTTGCAATCCTTCGTTCAAACGAAGGTTTTTTTGCAATCCTTCGCACACACGCAAACCGCCGGAGACATCCCCGCAATATGGGCGCGACCGGACGCCGTGCAGTACCCCTGGCGACCCCCCCAACTAGGAGGCGCCTCGCACGAGGCATCCTCAGCATCTGCTCCGAATACGGGGGGCGTTGAGCATGCAGACAAGCAGACCGCCTGAGACATCCCCGCAATCTGGGCGCGAATGGAGGCCGTGCAATACCCCCTGGCGCCCTCCCTTAGGAGTGCTAAAACCAGCACGCCGCTCGCGACATCCTCATCAACTGCTGATCGTCATCATCATCATCATCATCATCATCATCATCATCATCATCATCATCATCATCATCATCACCACCACCACCACCACCATCATCATCATCATCATCATCATCATCATCAACATCATCATCATCATCATCATCATCATCATCATCATCATCCGCATCATTCATCATATCATCATCATCATCATCATCATCATCATCATCATCCATTATCATCATCATCATCACATCATCATCATCACCATCACCATCATCATCCTATCATCCTCATCCTCATCCTCATCCTCTCCTAATCCTCATCCTCATCCTCATCATCCTCATCCTCATCCTCATCCTCATCCTCATCCTCATCCTCATCCTCATCCTCAATCATCATCATCATCATCGTCATCATCATCATCATCCCATCATAATCATCACCTCATCATCATCATCATCATCATCATCATCATCATCATCATTATCATCATCCATCATCCATCATATCATCATCCTCATCCTCATCCTCATCCTCATCTCTCTCATCTATCCTCATCCTCATCCTCATCCTCATCATCCTCATCCTCATCCTCATCCTCATCCTCATCCTCATCCTCATTCATCATCATCATCATCATCATCATCATCATCATCATCATCATCATCATCATCATCATCATCATCATCATCATCATACTCGTCCAGCTCCCCATATTTGCATCGATTCGCATGGACCTGTCCGCCGTGAGCGTGTCTAGGCGCAAGAGTTTTCGAAAATAAGCGGGTTTGAATTGTGACGGGCTGGTCATAAATCTAACTGCGAACGAATTGGAGCGTGAATGAGCCTCAGTAGTACGAGCGCGCCTCTGCGCATGAATCTGGGGCCTCCAGGAGCCTCTTGGGGCATCCTAGGGCCTCTTGGGCTTCGAGTGGCCTCCTGCGGCCTCCTCGGGCCTCGCGTGGCCTCCTGGGGCCTCCTGGAGCCTCTTGGGACCTCCGAAGCAGGATTCGTGCCCAAGGAGAAGCCCAACCTACAGGAACAAACGAGCATAAAACATTACGGATTGGAGCCGCAGGGGAGGGGCAATCTATAGGAGCACGCGTAAAACACCAAGGGCTTGTGCCCCAGGGGAGGCCCAGTCTATAGGAACACACGTAACACATTCAGGATTGCATACACAAGGGGAGGAGGAGGCAGGGAGGGGGGGGGAGGAGGCAGGGAGGGAGGAGGGGGGGAGGGGGGGAGGGGGGGGGAGGCGGGGAGGAGCTGTCCTTCCTTCCCCCCCCCCCTCCCGCACCAGGAGTGCCGCGCGCGGAGGGAAGCCTTTTTGCAAGCTGCCTCGGCCCCCGCGGAGACGCGCGCCTGGGCACGGAGAGCCTCTGGCTTGGCCTCCCTGTGCTTCCAGGCGCCAACAACCCCGCATGGCGGCCTAGAGCTCGGCAAACCACAGAGGCACCCTGCGACCCGGTCCCTCCTCCCCTTCCTCCTCCTCCTCCTCCTCCTCCTCCTCCTCCTCCTCCTCCTCCTCCTCCTCGTCTTGCCTTCTCCTCGTCTTGCCTTCGTCCTCCCGTTCTCGCTGCCGCTTCCATACTTGCCTTACTCCTCCTGTGCCTCCCTCCCTCCTCTCCTCCTCCTCCTCCTCTCTCTCTCCTCCTCCTCCATCTCTTCCCGTCCTTCTACTCCCCCTCCTCCTCCTCCTCCTCCTCCTCCTCCTCCTCCTTCTCTTCCACCTCCACTTCCTCCGTCCCCTTTCCTTGTACTGAACTCCCCCCCTGTCGCGCCCCCAGGCGTTGTCGATAGGGCGGGCCCGGCGCGTCGCCTGAGACTCCCTCACCATCCATGATTTTGAAGCTTGACTTTTTCAACAGCTTCAATGATGGAGGGCCCGTCGTTTTCAACACGTGGCTCTCGCCTGAGTGCCAGGCACATTCAGCTTCAAAATTTGCAATAGCTTCGCGGATGGAGGACAGGTCGGTTTTAAAGCGTTACTCTCGCCATTTGCGCCGCGCATATTCGACATAAGCGTTTGCCACAATTTAAAAGTGGAGACGGGCCGTTTTCAAAATGTGGATCTGGCTTTAGCGACGCGCACATTCCTACACGTTTGCGGCAGGGTCAAAGCCTCGTATAGCTGAAATCACAAGAGCGGTGCTCTGGCAAGATCTTGGACTGTTCAGGACGCAAGCGTCACATTGATTCGCGGCGTTGGAGTCCCAGGAATGACGTTCTGGCACGATCTAGGGCTGTCAGGGCGTATGAGTCATGTGGACCCACTGCGTTGAAGTCCCAAGGCTTGTGTTTTGACACGACTGAGGACTCTCAGACGGTTCTAATGGGCCACTTCCCGCAATGAAAAATGCGTCTTGGGCTTACATTGGTCCTCCTCCTCCTCCTCATTATCATCCTTCTCCTTATCCTCCTCCCCATGCCCCATCCCCTTATCACCCCCCCTCCTGCTCCTTATACTCCTCTTCTTCCTCCCCTCCATCCTCCGCCCTCCTGCAACTATCCGCCCCCGCGATGACCCCCTCTGCAATAATCGCCACTCTCACGCGCCAGCATTTGCTGGCTGCCAAACTGGCAGCATGCTGTCGAACTTGACGGGCGAATAATGTACACTCTTGAGCGTCTTGTTCGTGGACGCGTTGAAGACGACGTAGCGGCCGTCCGGCCCGAGCTTGTAGTCTGGCGAGTCATACCGACGCTTGCCGTTGACCAGGCAGCTCTCGTTGTACCATTCAACCGTATGCCTGGCCTCCTCTTCACTGGCGCAGAGCTTGCTCATGTTCGACTCGTGTATCAGGCAGAAGGCCCTGTCGAGATCTATGCCGAACGCCCCCCCTGTGCCGTACACGACGTACAAGATGTCGGCCATCGCGTCGATGGTCTCCACCATGTCCTTCGCCTGCACGGCCTCAACCAACTCCCGCACCTCTTGTGACTACCTGCCAGACCACCCCAACCCAACCCGAAGACCCGAATTTCGGGTTGGGGGGGGGTCTGGGTTCCACACGTGTTGGGTTTGTTTTTTCGTTGTTCCCCGACCCCCCCCCCCCCCCTGGAAATGGAGGGCAAATCGAGGCCTTCGGGTGGGGTTGGGGTGGTTTGGCAGGTGGTGGTCTTGGGGAACCAACGCACGCATAAACATAAACTTTGGGAGGTCCGCGCGAATTTCTTGGATCGGCACCGGAAGTCCCCCCTCCCCTGGCGCGCGGAGCGCGCCAACGGCGGCGCCGGGTGCGGCGCCCGAGAAGCCCCCGGCGAAGCTCCAAGAAATCCGCTCCGAGCTCCGAACGCTCATGTGCATGCAGTCCGCGCTTGTTCGAAGGATTGCAAAAAAACGAAGGATTGCAAAAAACGAAGGATTGCAAAAAGAAGGATTGCAAAAAAACGAAGGATTGCAAAAAAGAAGGGTTTTTTTGCAATCCTTCGTTTTCTTGCAATCCTTCGTTCGAGCACCTCCTCGCGGATAAGCGACAAACGGAGGTTCACTGTCTTAGGATCGGACTCGAAGACGTCCATCCGTGGCGCGTAGGCGACCTCCTCGCCGAAGCCTCTCATGAACTCCTCGGTCACCTTTCTGAAATTGGTCGTCGCCCCGGCGGCGGCATCAATCAAAGAGGATGCACCAAACGTCTCTCGCGTGGCACTCTCAGCACACGCTTTCCCAGCGGAGAGAATTGTGTCGAACTTCACGGGGGAAGCCGCCACCGTGCCGCGATGCACGAAGTGGAACTTCCGTGAATCCCTCCGAGCCCTTCGCATTAGATTGGCAATACTCTTCCAGGGCCTCATACTCCCCAGGAGTCCGTGAAATTCGAGGCGCTGCTTAAGAAGGGGGCGAAACTGTTCTCGACGAGTTCGGAGCGTAGCTCGGAATCCGGACTTCCACGTGTGTTAAGACTGTCAGGGGGAGCGGTCTGGGGCCCTGCACCGCAAGACGGCACGAGACCGTCTCCAGGCCTCAAGCCCCCAGAGACCCCGAGAGACCCCCAAGAGGCCCCTATAATCCTTCTAAGAGGCCCCAGAAGGCCTGTACGGAGCCTCTTGAACGGTGGCGGGGTAGGTCGACGACAACTCGATCCGCCACCCACGCTTGCTTACCAAAGGGGTGCACGGGGTGCAGTTTTTACTTACCCGGTGGGTCATTCTGAAGTTTCCCAAGAGTCTGCAGCTCAAATCACGAGCCACTCGTAAAAACTGGCCTCAGTCGGCAATCCCATTCAAGATCGCCCAAGAGGGACTCCAAGAGGACGAAGATGGTCCAAGGTGCCCCCACATTGCTTCCAAGACGGCCGAACATACCTCCAAGATAGTCCAAGATGGCCCAGAGACGACCCAAACGGCCCTAGATGAGCCCAAGACAAGCCAAGACGGCCTCAAGACGACCCAATATGCCTCTAATAGAGCCCAAAGGCTGGCAAAGAGACCCACAAAAGGCCTCAACAGACACCCAAGAGATAAAACGGAAGCCCCCAGGAGATCGCAAGAGGCCCCCAAGAGGCCTCCTTTTCGTCCTCCTTCTCTTCCCTCCTATTTCTCATCCTCCTCTGTAGCCCTCCCCTACGTGTTCCCCCATCGGCTTCCACAACGGCTGGAGGCAAACAGAGCCCAATACCTCGACAAGACTTTGGCACAACGTCTGGCCATATAAAGCGCTTCCAAAGGGCATGTGGCGGCGGTGGCTCGCCGCAAGCGTCTTCGATCCGCCGCTCCCTATGCTTGCCACAGGGGCACTTAACGTGCCGTGTTTGAGATCACGTCCTCGGCCATCCACATGCTTTCCAATGGCCCTCGGCTCGACACGCAAACCACCCGGAAAAGACCAAGCCGACCGCAAGATCAGAACAACCCTTGTTCAAGATGGCCAAGATGGCCTCTGAGATGGCTGCAGTAGTAAGTTTCCGGTCAGGCTGCTTCGGGGCTGCTTCGGGGGATCCGCAAACTAAAAGACACGAAGCGCTCAGAATAAGTCCAGAAGTGAGCCGGCGTCACGAGGATATACCGATCTGACACGAAGGCGCCGAAATTTTGCCGAACTTGGGTCAATGATGCTAGGCCAATGCATCTGCAGCCGCTGCAGATGCATCCAAGATGGCCTAATGGGTGCCCGCAACTGGCCCAATGTAGCCCCAAGAGGGTCCACAAGCTTCTCTCTGGGGTCTGTTGGGCCAGGGCCCCTCGGGGTGGACCCTGGGCGCCCAAATCACAAAAACGTTGCTTATTTGTTCGGTGGATGACCGCAAATTTCGATATCAAGACCGTCTGAGACGGCCCAAGAGGCCCCCAAGACCAGCCCAGAGGATCCTGGAACGGCCCCGATACGACCCGGAGGGTTCCAATATAAGCTCAAGACGGCCCTAAATGGCCCCGAGAAGGCCCAAGACGGCCCAGATTTCTCCAAGCCAGCCTCCGAAGGCGCCAGACGGCCCAAGCGTACGCAAAGACAGCCACGGCATGGCCCCCAGGTCAACATGTCAGAAAAGAGCCCCGAACCGGCCTCATAGGGCCCCACCCCAGTGCTCCCCCCATGGTTTCCCAAACGGCTGAAGGAACACACGCTCCGCCAGCGCGGCAGCACTCCCGCTCAACTTTTCACACCACGCAGGCGTGTCCAAAGGGCAGGCGCCGGCGGTGACTCGCCGCAGGCAACTTCGATAGTTGACGCTCTTGAGGATCTTTCCAGTGGACGCGTTGAGGACGACGAAGCGTTTCCCATCTGGCGCGCGCCGGTCCGCCACTGTGCCCCCGTTGCACGTTAGAGGCGCGGTAGAATGGCAAGGACTGCGCTGTAAACTGTCGGCGTTCTAATGAGGGGTGTCCCCCCTCTACCCGCGCCCCCCTCGCATGCACCACCTCTCGCTCCCGAGGCCGCGATCCCTCGTGCAGAAGTCACTCCAGCAGAGCACCCCAATAGCAACCGGTGGGACTCGTGTGGCCTGTGGGACCTCGGGGACCTGTGGGACCTCTGGGACCTGTGCGCGACCTGTGAGGCCCGTGAGACATGTGGGGCCTGTGGACCTGGGGGGCCTGTGGGGCCTATGGGGCAAGTGGGAACTGTGGGACTTGAGCGATCTGTGAGACCTGTGGGGCCTGTGTGCCCTATGGGACGTGTGCGACCTCGTGGACCTGTGGGACAGGTGGAACCCGTGAGACCTGTGAAAAACGTTGGATGTGTCGGACGTGTGGGGCCTGTGGGACCCGTGAGAACTGTGCGGCCTGTACGGCCTGCGGGGCCTGTGGGGACAGTGAGATTTGTGGGACACGGCGCACGTGTGGGCCCTGTGGGGCCTGTGGGGCCTGTAGGACCTGTGGGGCTCGTGGGACCTGTGGGACCTGTGGGACCTGTGCGGCGCGTGGGACCTGTGGGGCCTCTCGGGCCTGCGGGCCTTGTGGAAACTAACGGTGTGACCTGTGCGGCCCGTATGGCCTGCAGGACCCGTGGCGCACGTGCGACACGCGGGACCTGTGCGATCCGTGGGGCCTCGGGGCCCGTGTTATAACTGTGGGACACGTGGGACTCGGTTCGGACCTGTAGTACCTGTGGGAATTGTGAAGCTTGTGCGACCCGTGGGGCCTGCGGGACAGGTGGGGCCTGTGGAACCTGGGGGGCCTCTGTGTGGCCTGTGTCACCTGTGAGACCTATGAGGCAGGTGGGAACTCCGACTTGTGCGACCTGTGGGGCCTGTGGATCCGTGGGACCTGTGGGACCTGCAGGACTTGCGGGAACTGTGGGACCCGTGGGACCTGCGAGGCCTGCGAGGCCGGTGGGACCTGTGGGATCTGTGGAACTTCTGGAACCTGTGGTGCCTGTGGGACCGATGGGATTTGTTGCAACGGTGTGACCCGTAAATCCTCTGGGACCTGTGGTACCTTTGGGACCTCTGTGGTCTGTGGGACCTGTGAAACCTGCGAGACCTGTGGGGCAGGTGGGAGCTGCGGAATTGTGCAACCTGTGGGATCTGTGCTGCGGGACCTGTGGGACCTGTGGAACCTGTCTTGCCTGTGGGACCTGGAGGGACCTGTGCGGCTGGTACGATCTATCGGGTCTTGGGGGCCTATGGGGACCTGTGGGACTTGGGGACCTCTGTGGGACCTGTGGAACCTGCGACACCCCTGGGACGTGTGGGGCCTGTGGGACCTGTGTGGGACATGTGGGACCTGGAGGGGCCTGTGAGGCCTGCACAACCTGCAGGACCTGCGGGATGTGTAGCACTTGTGGGGCCTCTGGGGCCTGTGAGGCAGGCGGGACCTGTGGGACCTGTGGGACCTGTGGTACCTGTGCCGGTGAAACCTAACTTTGTCACCTGTGTGACCTGTGCGGCCTGTACGACCTGCGGGACCGTGGCCATCCGGCCAGCAAATGTAGCCCGCATCCAGGCGAGAGCGCACAACTCGTCAATAACAAATGCGGGAGTCTCACGCGAAACAGGCAACGGGCAGGGCGGTCTCGGGCTCACCGTTCCCCCCTGTGAAACTCTTAGGTGGTCCTTTGCTACCACCATCTAGCGACCCACTATCAGGCCATGTAGCTGACATTGTGGCGAGAGTATGATTCCCGACTACATCGCTGAAACATCTCAAACGAAACGGCTGCCGGACCAAGCTGTCTGGGGCTCCGCGTCCGCCATGTGTGCTCTTACGTGTCCTCCTTTGACCACCATGAAAACCCTCTGACGAGACGCCATTAGGGAATGTAGCCAGCATTGTGGCGAGAACACGCCTCTGGAAACGGCTGCCAGACCTGGCAGTCTCGGGCTCCACGTCCCCCGTGTGGTACCCGGCGTTGTGTCGAGGGTGCGATTCCAATACCTACACGACCACCCTGCGGGTGATAAGGAGGTTGGGGGGGGGGGGGGCCAGCAATGGGCAACAGTGGCGAATGTTGTTGTGACAATGCCAGTGGAGATAGTTGCGTTGCCGCTCGCTCTTGGGGGCGTTGGTGTCGAGTTGTTTACGTCACCCTTCCCCTGGGAACCTGCCCAACCTGCGCAACGGCAGCTAACGGCGCCATTTGGCCACATAAGACTGAAGCGCTGGCAAAGCTTGGCGCAGCCCGCGCCGCCTCTTGCACTATCGATCTCAGTATCGATCTCTCCATGGTCTCGCTCAATCGAACTCACTCGATCAATCTCACCATCGATCTCACAATCGATCTCATCATCGATCTCTCTCGGCCGGTCTCACTATCGATCTCACCAGCGATCTCACAATCGATCTCACTATCGATCTCACTATCGGTTCCCCTAACGATCTCCCTTTCGACATCATCAACATCATCAACATCATCGACATCATCGTCATTATCATCATCATCATCATCATCATCATCATCATCATCATCATCATCATCATCATCATCACCATCATCACCATCATCATAATCATCCACGTCATCATCGGGACACCGACGGGACACCGAAGGGACACCAGCGGGACACCGGCGGGACACCGCGCGGCACCGGCCGCCCGGTCAAGGTTCTTTTGCCCCGGCCGCGCCTCAGCCACACGGGACACCAGCGGGACACCGGCGGGACACCGCGGGGCACCGGCCGCCCGGTTAAGGTTCTTTTGCTCCGGCCGCGACTCAGCCACAGGAGACTTTTTCTCGCCCGCCCACGCAACTTCGCCTCGCCCGCACGGCGCGCACGAACACGAAACCGAAATCGATTTCCCGGTAGGGGGGCTCTCCGTTCCACTTCGATCTCACCCCCCAACCTCCGATACATTGTGCAGAAGCCTCTGGCGAAACGGCTTCCGGACCAGGCGGTCTCGGGTTCCCCGTCCCCCGTGTTGTAGCTGGCGTTGCGGCGAGAGCACGATTCTTGAACACGCTGAGGAAACCTCATGCGACGCGGCTGCCCGACGGGGCGGTCCTGGGCCCCCCGTCCCACCTGTGGGACTCTTCCTTTTTTGTTTGATAGAGCGCTGTGGTCTCAAAGGGTCCCCTTCCCCTTCTTCCTCCATTATTTTCCCTTATCCATAATTTCCCCCTGTCACATCCCGAGACGTGTCGGTAGGGCGGGCCAGGCATTTCGCATGAGATCCCCTCGGCATTTGTGATCGTTCAGCTCCAAAGTTTCTACAATTTCACGGATAGGGAGCGGGGTGGTCTTCAACATGTGCCGCGCGCATTCGCAAAAACGTGCAAACATTTCACGGATGGAGGGCGGGCCGTTTTCATAATGTGGCTCTCGCTTTAGCGCAGCGAACATTCGTCTCAAACATTCGTGCGAGATATACGGATGGAGGGCGGGCCGTTTTCAGAATCTGGCTCTCGCCTCAGCGCCGCGCGCATCCAAAAACATGTGTAGAACTCTCGCGGCCGGAAAGCGGTACCTTTTCAAACACTGTGGCTCTCGCATTAGCGCCGCGCGCATTCGTTTTACGAGTTTGCAGCAGTTTCATGGCTACTTCTGGCTGGCGCCCCAGAGATGGTGCTTCGGCACGATGTAAGACTGTCAGGGCCCAGTAGTCACGTTGATTCGCGGAAGCGAGATCCCAGGAACGGTATCCTGAGACGACTCAGGATCGTCAGGACGCACAAGTATCGTTAATTCGCGGCGTTGAAGCCCCAGGGCTGATGTTTTGGCACGGTTCAGGACTTTCAAACTGAAGTCTTCCAACAGGGCGCCTCCCGCACTGAACATAAATCCTTGGAGGGACCATGAGGAGGGAACTTGGAGTGAAGGTTTACTGCAACATCGTTGATGAGTCTTGGGTTTACACTGGTCCTCCTCCTCCTCCTCCTCCTCCTCCTCCTCCTCCTCCTCTTCCTCCTCCTCCCTCTTCCTGCCGAAGGCCGCGGACAGCTCAGGCCCTGAACACATACGGCCTCTGCCACGCCTTCCCGCGATTCCCTCCATCCACCAGGACCCCGAGGGGGGTTGCTCGCTCGTCTGGCTGCTGGCGGCACCCCAGCGCGCCGACGGCATGACAGCTAATGCGGATGACCGCTGCGGCGCCCCCCCCACTGGAGGTGAGGCGCTCACGGGCCCAACGCCACCGAGCACGACTACGGCGCCGGCTCTTCCTGACTGTTGCTGCTGCCAGCCTTCCGCTGGGCCTCGTGGACTTGAACGACGACCCGAGGATCCCACACGGCGACACCAGCGAGCCGCAGAGCGTGCCGAAGAACCTCCACCAGGAGAAGTCGGACAAGGACATGCTGGTGAGGGTCTCCGATGGCGACGGCATCGAGCCGATGATCCATGACGTTCCGAAGAACCACGAAATTCGTGAATTGTACGCCGCGTCGAACGGCATCTTTTGCTCCAGCTGCGCAGCGAAGACGTCGCAGGTGAATAGTGATACGTACGCCGACTGTCTCTGCTACGAGACGATGCGCAAGAGAGGGAAGTCGGACAAGACCATGCTGGTGAACGTCTCCGACGCCGAGCCGAAGAATCTCCTCAAAGGGAAGTCGGACAAGGACATGCTAATGAGCGTCCCCGATGGCCGCATTGAGTCGCAGAACTACGACATTTGTGACCTGGACGGCATGACGAGCGACATCCTCTGCTCCAGCTGCGCCGTGAAGATGCCGCACGTGGATAGCGAGAAGTACGACGACTATTTCTGTTTCGAGTGCCACGAGAGGATGCACAAGCGCGGGAAGTCGGACAAGACCATGCTGGTGAACGTCTCCGACGCCGAGCCGAAGCATCTCCTCCACGGGAAGTCGGACAAAGACATGCTAATGAGCGTCCCCGATGGCCGCATCGAGTCGCAGAACTACGA